AAAAATGTTTGGGCAGTCGGCAGCAGGGAGAAACGCAAGCAAACAATACCGATTCGCAGCGGGAAAAATCCAACGCAGCAAGAAAAAACACCTCGCAACAGCACAAAACAGGTTTGCAGCAGAAAGAATACATTCTCGACGCAGCGGGAAAAATGATACAGCAGCAGGAAAAACAGTCGGAGGCAGGGAAAAAAAAATCCGAGGCAGGAAAAATCCTGCACCAGAGAAAACCCAGCTTTGCAGCCGAAAAAGTCGACGCAACAGAAAAAAACAAATCCGCAGCGGGAAAAAACAGCAACCCCTAAATTTCATCTGGGCGTGCCTGCATCCGGCGCATTCATTGATGTGAGGACCAGAGTGCTGTGAAGGAGTTTGCTAGAATATGGCTTGGAAATTTTAAGATGGCTGGTAACTTTTCACTGGCTGGCAGACCATCCTGGAGTTGTCCTTTGTCACTGATGTCAGAGTTCAATGAATGTTGTTCAGTCTGGATAGGAGTGGATAAGTATGTCATCCATTCTTTCCAGACTGAATATGTTCATCGTCAAGTAGTGTTGCGTGACATCTGCGTGACAGACGTGTTTTCAAATGTTCAGTGACATTTTCCAAGCGGAGAAGAAAAAACATAGCGTTGTTCACACATCGTTCAACTACGGAGGTCATGCATTGCGAGACCATGTTAAACTGCAGAAATTTAAAGTGTTTCTGAAAGTATGTGATAAAAATGGAGATGAAACGACCTTTTCGAACGGTTGTGCAGCACAGTGATTCTTCAGGCGTGTTTGCATCAAGGAAAATGTTCACTATGGCATATGTGATAAAATGTAAACCGGAAATCTCCCTGCCGATGATAATTATTGTATATAATTTCCGTATAGAATGTGATTTTCTTGATGGCATTGTCATGGATGCATTTTGTTTTCCGTTGTTCACCTCGGCGCACATTTTGTTTTTTGTTTGGAGATTTGCATTGACGAATGGCCCCAAATGTTGGGTATTAATTCCGATGAACTCTGTATTTTGCAACCGGTGTTGGTGAACTTGCTGATTTGGCAGGAATTCTGGCCCAATTATTGCAAAACCGTCAAACGCAAACAAAAACACGTTCCAGAAACGATCATTGTGTGAAGTAAATGTCATAATCGCTGCGAGAACATGTTTTGGTCCATAACAACATGTGTATTGCATGCTTGTTCGCACATGTTTTTTGTTTTGTTTTGATAGTTGAAATCATTTTCTTGTTGTGGGATGCGCAATTGCATTTGATTGTGTTTTCAATAGTAACGCAATTTTTTTTGGTCCTAATTCACTTTTATGATTGTTGGGCAAGACTTTGATTCATATATCATATATGTGGAACGTTCTCTGGGTCCTCAAATCGCATTGTGCACATTGATCTTATCTTCACACCACGTTCCTGTTGTTGATTATATGGACAAAATACATGCAAAAACACGCGAACCCGAAGAATCAAACATATTTCACACAAATGATTATTCGTGAAAACGCAAATCATGCAATCAACAGCGGTTGGCTTTAGTATCGGATTGTGTCAATGCTCAAAGTACTACAACTCTCGTGGATGATGTCCCTGCAGAACAACAACTTTGTATTGTATAGATGCATGCGCATGTATACATGTAGGAACAATACATGTCCGATGTGCTTGACACAAATTAAAAACATTCCAAAAAACATTTGGCACACTACGAGTCTATGAGGTCCAATTGCCCGGCAAGTGTTGTGGAAAGGTGTGTTCCTCCTTCCAAAACAGATCTTAATTTGCCATTGCATGACGAGGGGTTGTTTTGCGAATGCAGCATACCAGGCATACCAATATCAATCCAAGGAATCGTGTTCGAAATGAATTTCATCCAATGTCCTTCAATGGTTGGTGGTCCGATGGCCTTGGAAAGCAATGCTTGTGGCCCAGTTAAATTCAATCCGAATGTTTGCTGCGTGATTTCCTCCTCAGGAAACGGCATCAAATTCTTCATCCGGAAATGTTGCAACATTTTTTTTGCAGGAACTGTTCTGACTCGACTTGGAAAACAATTGTTCATTGAGGCCTTCTGCTCGCCCGCCAGTGCCCAAGGCAGGTTTGCAACCGAAACACACTGAACAAAAATCACTTGACAATATGTTTTTCTTTGAATGAATATCGAAGTGAACCATGTTGGATGCGTCCAACACAACACTGATTTCTCACAAACACAGTTCCAAAAATCCAACGTTTTGAATCCCAAAATGCTGTGATTTTGCAAATGCACAAATTGTTTGAACATGCTGATCAGATAAACCGTTTTTTATTTTGAATTTTGTGGTTTACGAATTACGATATTTTGGGAATCCTGCAAAGTGCACCCATATTGGCCCATTGTGTTGTCAAGCGTTTTTGGAGAACTTATGGGAAACAAATTGAAGTGTCATCGCCCAAAATCCTTCCCCACATTGAACGTTTCCTTCCCCACATTGAACATTTTGATCAATCAAACAGAAACAACATAGACAGATGGGCAAATTGATGCAAAACAGTTTGACGTAAAACCGACCTGCATCCTTTGTAATACCAGTTTTCCGAGTTCGCTGCATTGGAATGTGTTTTTTTCTTCTACAAACAATTTCTGTCATGGTTTTTCAATTTTATTACACCGCTGCTTCCAGATGTGGCCACATGCACGTGGACGCATACACATACACAGTGCAAACAAAATGAATCTCACTTTTGGAAATTTAAAAAATATGGGACCAACAACCAAAAGTGTTTGTTGTGCTTAGCAGTGTTTTGAATTTGAGTTCTGCGAATCGGTTCACCCCATATGATTTGGGTGTCCAAAATTTGCATGAAACTGCATTAACAAAAAAAACACTATTATATACTTATACTATTATTACATGCAAATCTTGTAAAACAAGGTACGGATTTACTTAATGCGAACACTATTTTCACTCTGTTTGGTGCGCTGCAATTTTATATTGAAAAACATAAGTCCATTTGTTGTTTGAAAAAGGTCACATTCAACTCCAATAGATCAGTTTGGATGCTGGTTTGCCAGGCACAGATTGCAGTGCCTCCCAGTACCTTTCCACCCAGTTCCCAGGAGGCTGAAATTCTCAGGATTGCAGCCCTTTGAAAAAATACATGACTTAATTTTTGGAGTTTATTGCCAAGAAAACATGTGAAACTCCACAACCACAAATGTTGTTTTATTTCATTTCAGGCAGATGAACTGCTTCGAACTTTGGCAGAGGAACCGCCGTTTTTTGTCAGTTTTCAGTGCAAGATCAGCGTTTTGTTTTGGACTTCAAACCCGGCTGAGCGAAATAGTTTCGCATCAACCGTTTTCAAATGGTCAATTTCTGAGAATCAGTTGTGGACAATAACATTTTTGAACCGACTTGATGATACGAAACACCTCGACAAACAGAACCATTTTTCAAGAAATGTTTGGATTGCCTCCCGAGGAGGCTAGTGTCAAGGCCATCAACGAAGCCTGCTTGGCCTTATCTGGCACGTGAACCAAGTGGTCTTCTGGCAAGGGTTGGAGATGGGTTCCAGAAAGACAAAAACATCGTGTTTTTTTTTTCCCGGTACAGAGACCTTTCGTTTTTTCGGTACAAAACATGTCATGATTGTCATGGCGATTCATAAAGTTTGATCTCCCTCCCAGGATGGACAGATGCCATCTTGGAACTACTTGCGGAGGCCATGTGTGACTGTGAAAAAAAACTATTTGGCGGATGAATTATTTATGCGCTGCAACGTTCTTTCTTAATGGCAAACTGCTGGTCCTCCTTTCCCTTTCTGCTTGTTGGCTGATGACCTGAGGTGGAGCGCGGCCCAAGTTCGGAGGATCCTTTGGACGAGGCAGTTGCAGATGTTTGCTTCATGAAAAGGTGCGAGAAAAGCGGAGGTAGAAGGTTTGCGGGGCGTTGCGGCCTCATTTCGGATCGAAGGCCAACGTATGAATGCTGGAATAGCATAGCCTGTTGCAGGTCTGGCACTGGTTGGCAGCCTCTGAGCGCTTGGCGCGAAGCCTATCGTTTGCGGTGCGCTCAGAGTAAGAAAACTACTTTGCGCACCTGATTTCTTAATGTGTATTTATGTCATGCATTGTAATAATACATTGTAATAATACATTGTAATACATACAAGACAACATAGGACGAACATGGACGAACTTTTTTAAATGCCTGTTGAAGAAACTTCAACAACTGTTTTTTCATTCCCCGTCTCCTCGTCAGCTTTTGTCAACATGAGGCGGAGCACTTCTCAGTGGCAGGATTGGCTTCACGTTTGGTAACACAGCCGGACCATGCCGGACCAACGTCCTTTTGTGTGTTTTCTGGTGTTTGAGTCAAGACAAAGTCTGTCAACCGACCAGTGTGCGCAACTTGCACATTGAGGCAAAACGTCAAAATGACATAGCAAAGGTTTTCTATTCAGGGTGAGAAACGAAGTTAGGGAGAAGGCTTTTGTTCAAACAGAGAATCCATTTGTACTTCACCAAGTGAAACGTCGTGAAAATTCAGGAAAATCCATAGCAGGGGCTACCATGGGTTCTTGAGTTGTAAAAAAGAGCCTGGGCTTCAGTAGATTGATGTTGTTTTGGCTTCGCTGCTTAGGCCTTGAAAGTGAAGAGACCAAAGAACAGCAGAGGCTTTGGCACTTCAGCTTTGCCGCAAATCGCACAAGAAGTTGGCAACATTTGGAAATTAGTGATGCAAAGTGATTGAAGGCCATGACTTCAGGAACAGACATGGCAGCTTTCCCCCCGTCGGACCTCACAACCTGGTCCTGGAAAACTGCGAGAACCAAAAGTATTAAAGAACCACAAAGATATTCTTGGAGAGGCAGTGACATAACGGACTCTCACTTGGGTCATTGGCAGATCCATTGGACTTCTTGGGAGTGCCCGCGCCAAGTGGATTTAAGTGGCTTCATTTCACACCAGGGACGCAGGAACGTTTTGTCTCAGTTGTCTCTTGCCTATAGCCACTTCGGCTATCCAGAGGGTCGGAGTGCTGTGCTGAGCAATGGCTGGTGCAAAGGATCAGACACGAGCTGCTCGGGTTTGTGTTAGACTTTTCCTAGCAGATGCTTCAAAGGGCACCCATCTGCTGCAACACCATGCAACACCTATGTCGCTATTTCACTGGTATAGAAGAACTGGGATCATGACAGGCAATGTTGAGGCTTCATGTAGTGCAACTGCTTGTCAGCAAGTATGATTTGGCCATGGTAGTTTTCGCACTTCCAACATCTTCACCCTGCACAGCTGCCTTCCTTTCAAGGCCTACAAAGCTGTGTCCAGCGGCCCTGCAAGGAACAAGGCCATCCTGGTTTTGTGCTGTTGGAAAGAAGATGTTTTTGATAGCAAACAACATCAAACAACTAACCAAGTGGAATCAAATATATGTAGACAAATATCCTGTAGCTACAAGCTCACTCCGCTCTGCTTTCCTTTTCCTGAAGAAGTGAAACTTGAACCTAACTGTCAATGCAATATTCTAACCTTCAGAAACCTTCAGAAGTTTGCATCGCGGTCATGGAAGAGTCAGGTACATATTGAAGAAAATTGCGTATAGCCGCATCGAAACACTTCTTGAGCTTTGTTCAAGCTGTGACTGCGCTCTTGTCTTTCTGTTGGTTGAGGCATTGGAGGAAACTCGCCCTAGCGACTTCAACACCTTCAAGCAGACCGCTGGTGCACAGCTTGAGTCAGAGGGAGATTGCAGTGCTAAGCAGAATGAGTGGAATGCACGCATGTAATCCATTGTAATCTAACATTCAAATGAGAATGAGGACTCGAAACTCGAAACAACTCGAAATGGCATTAGCCAAAAACGACTTTGCAAGATTCGCATGTGATTCGCACGTGATTCGCACGTGATTCGCGCGTGATTCGCACGTGATTCGCACGCGATTCGCGCGTGATTCGCACGTGATTCGCACGTGATTCGCACGTGATTCGCACGTGATTCGCACGTGATTCGCACGTGATTCGCACGTGATTCGCACGTGATTCGCACGTGATTCGCACGTGATTCGCACGTGATTCGCACGTGATTCGCATGTGATTCGCACGTGATTCGCGCGTGATTCGCACGTGATTCGCGCGTGATTCGCGCGTGATTCGCGCGTGATTCGCACGTGATTCGCGCGTGATTCGCACGTGATTCGCACGTGATTCGCACGTGATTCGCACGTGATTCGCACGTGATTCGCACGTGATTCGCACGTGATTCGCACGTGATTCGCATGTGATTCGCACGTGATTCGCATGTGATTCGCATGTGATTCGCACGTGATTCGCATGTGATTCGCATGTGATTCGCACGTGATTCGCATGTGATTCGCATGTGAGCATGTGGACGTGGATTCCACATGCTCCAGGTCGTGATGACCTGATCAGATTGATCGTCGGACGCAGCCTAGTTGCAGATATTTGCAGAGAGTCGGGCGGAGTGGCATCTGAGTGGCATCGCTGGGACAAAACAGTCACAATCAGATTCTCAAAGTGGTTTTGTTGAGCTTTTTTTGGTCCGGAAAGTTGGGTGTGAAAGTCCCGAAGGAGTCAGATCTTTTGATCTCAAGGGCCCAAAGCAAGATATATATTTAATATATTTCCAGAAGAACTGCTGGCTGCCACATCTATGCCCTGGAACATCTGGAACAGGAAGAGGCCATATTTCTCACATTTCCCATGCCCTGCAACAAACTTCCAGCCACATTTGAGGCTTTATGACTTCAGCAGCTCAGCAAAAATTCATGGCAAGTGGCAGCACTCTCGGAAGGGGATGGAATCACATCATGCAGAAGTTGCATAGTTTGTCTTAGTATGTGCTGAGCCTGAGAAATTTCAGAAAGCGACTGTACTTTTGGAGCTCTTCATACGCAACTGTACTTATTTCGGTGGGCTTTCAGGCTCAAGTTCTGCAGCATTGATCTGGTCATGTCCAGCAGACTTTTGCGAATGGCAAACTGACAGCAAGCGCCAGTGGAATTTCTTTCCGTAGAAACAATATGCCCGAATTCCCTTCAGCCTAGTTTCGAGGTATCGGATGGTATCGTTGGAACCAAGGATGGCCAGGATATTCAAGATGACTACACCCTGGCGATCGAGAAGAAGCTCTGGAGAAAATCATTGGATTCAATCATCAGGATATGCTGAACAGCTTGAGTCTACGTATCTGCGATCATAATACGGCACACACAAAATGCATATTGGGCAGTTACTACATGTTTATAAACTATAGACTATAGACTGTATAGATAAAGACAGAAATGCTCTTGCAACATGTTGTGATACCACTTAAATCTCCCCAAAATGAAACTAAAGTTTGAAACCTTTGAGCTGACAGCTGTCTTGATCAGGAGCACATTTCATAATATCTCCGATTTTGTTGTGGACAGGAGCACCTACTGCAAGGAACGGGGTGTTTTAGACGACGATGCTCCTCCAGCAGCATTTTGAGCTGACTCAAGGGCATTTCATGGGTTTTTGGAGCTTTTCAATCTGATTGATATTGTTATTTTATTCATCTGAAATAATCGGGTCATTTGGCATTCCGTTCAACCCTTCTGGACACAGGTGTTTAAATGACCGTTGAATGCTCTCTTTTTTTACTGAAGTTTGCTAAGGTGAAAGTCTTCGTGAAGTTTCTGCTGCCGCAAGCAGGTGCTGGTCTTGGCTGGCTAGACACCAGCAAGTCACCGCTGCAACTCAAGCTCAAGGTTCAGACCTTAGCACTAGATGTTGGTGCTCTGCTATGGAGGATGGTGGATGTGGGACACCAAAATCATCCAAGGTTGGTCATTTCTGATGGGGGATTTTGATGGATTTTAGGGGATGTAGGATACCAATGGCTTTGGGGGACCTGAATTTTGAGAAACACAGAGGCGCAGCATGTGGAGGCTCTTGCTTTCTCGTGTTGCCAAGGGGCTTGATCAAAGCTGCTGAGGACAGTGACATCGTCGAGGTCCTTTTTGCTGAGACGTCTATAGAATCTGAACCAGCTGCTCTTCCCTCCCGTCACTGAGCGAAATTCACCAACTCAAGTGGAGGGAGATGGTCTCTGTTTCTGCTCTTTCTGAAGTGGTTCGTCGATTTGTGCATCTTCCGCATATTACTTTTACGTTACCACTTGCGAAAACACTATCCCTTTTCTTCTTGGCCGTATGCGAAGCGTGTGCAATTGGGATCAGGGCATTACATCGATTTGGCGTTTGTATGTTTCAGGTGCAGAATGAATGAGGAAAGAGAAGTCAAACCTGCAAAGTGGAACATGTTTATATTTAAATGCAAGTTATTTTTGAAACGCAACATATTTGTATTAAACTCTTGAACTTAGCACAGATGTGCCACGATCCCTCAGGTGCTGAAGCTCTGAAGCTCCTGCAGGACCCTCGAGCCGCAAAAGCCGAGGCGGCCGTGGCCCAGCTTCCCACAATTTGTTCCTGTTGATGCCTGATACGGAATTTCTTTTACCTTGCAAATAAATAATCATCTGAAAATAAACATATTAAAATATATATATATATATACATACATACATACATACATACATACATACATACATACATACATACATACATACATACATACATACATACATACATACATACATACATACATACATACATACACACACATACATTACATACCTACATATATATATATACATATCATTTCTACATATAAAACTATATACCTACATTATACATATAAATATATTACAGATATAATCATATATACTATAAACGTATATATACATATATATATATATAAATATGTATATATACGTATATATATATATTATGTATATATATATGTATATATATATATGTATATATATATGTATATATATATATATGTATATATATATGTATATATATATATGTAATATATGTATATATATATGTATATATATATATATATATCTATATATACATATAATACATATATATATATTTATGTATGTATGTATGTATGTATGTATGTATGTATGTATAATACACATATCCATCTATGGACTCACTGGCTTTGGGAGCACAGAAACTTGTGCATGCTTGGAATGGTTACCCTGACGGAAGAACCCATCCATTATAGGGTTGAACACCAACTTGATATTTCTGCGAGCCGGAACAAAGAACAAGCAAGAAGGGTGGACAACTTGCATGTGTGAACGCCTTGATCTCTAGACTTTGACACGAAGCATTTGTTGTTCTATGTCTTGGCTTTGCCGACTTTCGACCCTGCTCCGAAGTTACCAAGCGGGAGTCAAGGATCCTCAAGAATTACTTGCCGCAACACAACCCTGTTTTTTGATGCTTTTCGTGGTTTTGAGAGTCCTAGTGGAAGTCAACAGCACCTTTGACCTTCACCCTGCAAATTGTGCCGTCGAATGAATGTGTATATGAGTCGGTGGGAAAGTTTACAAACGATTGCCCATCACCCCACTCATACAAAAGTAAGTATGAAGCGACTACTGCGCGCATCAGTAGGATTCCAGGGATACCAAGTGCTTAAGTTTGACAGAAGGTTGACATCAGCCCCTACCATCCCTTAAATCTCTCACAGTGGAAGCTTTTGAGTTCCAAGATCACAAAGTGACGTTTTTTGCGTACCAGTGGTTGCTGATCCAGAAGTAGCCAATGCATTTCAGTTGGGCAAACACTTTTTCTTGAAGTGTTTGGTTTGACAGGTTTGGGCTGCATTATCGAGGCATGAGCGATGATGAGCGATGATGCGTCAAGGGATGGTGGCTAGCTAGAAAGGTATGGAAGACCATCAGACAATGACAAATTGTCAATGCAGATTTGACACTGCATGAATGCTTCTAGAAGCTCTGGAATCTATCTAAGATTGACTGGAGACAGGAGTAGCAAGTAATTAGTGGTGGACAAACTAGGAAAAAAAATGCCAGCTTGTACCAAAAAAAAATAGACCTCCCATTTGGCTTGTGAATCTGCAAGTGATGGATCTTGATCACTTGATCACAAAGACAAGCAAGGGGCACCAGCCATGAAATGTTGAGAAATATTTTTTTTGGGCGCGATCTGAGCCGTTTTGCGAACTTGGTAGGTTCGCTGAAGACGACTTGCTAGTTGCACCAGGGCTTGAACTGCTTGCAGATGCGGTCCCTTGCCGGCAAAGCCAAACCCAGTTCTAGGACAGGTTGTGAAAGTGATTCAATTCGGGAATAATTAGCGTTGACAATCACATCATACAATTTTTCTGTGTGAGCTGATCCAACTTGCGATTTGGATTGCTGGACGCTTTTGCGGTTCCCCTTTAGCGTGTGTGCCCCAAGGTGGAGAGGCAGCCGCTACTTTGCAAGAGCATAATCAGCGTCAGAGGCCAGAGCTGTGCAAAGAGCCAAGCTTGCCAAATCCAAAAGATCCAAAAAGATCCAAAGATCATCTGCAGTATAGGCAACAAGTGCGATGTCATGAGACTCCTGAGTCGTCTGCTTGGCGTGCCTGCCTCAAGAGCGGGGTTGATTTGGCCTGTTTCTTTCAAACTGCATATTTGCCACATTTTGCCACATTTGGAGCTGCCGCCGTAGCGATGAAGAAAGTTATTTGTTCCACAGTGTATGGTTGATTGATTTTTCTGTGCAATTGCCCGCCTAATTTTTTGGCAACAAGGGAGCCACCTACCTCCACAGTGTTGCAATAACTGCCTTCCAGCTTGCAGCTCATCTAAGATCATCTAAGAAGCTCAGGATTTGCATAGCAGCAATCGCAGGGTGCAACTCGCAGGATGGCGGCTTCTGCTCCAGGCACTTTCGAGGATCTCATGATTTCAGGGCAAAACAGAACTACATCGATCAATGAGAAATTCAACACCGACTGTGTCATCTTGTGGTGAATTCAACAGCAACAAACATTCTGGGTGAAAGCAGATATTGTACATTATTGTACCAAGCTGCAATTGCTCAATAGAACTGGCCTTTGTCTCCAATGGTTGACATGAACCCCTGGCAAGTGCCAGGCAGCCAAAGATGAGGAGCTTAGACCTGTGCTGCGTAGAGCAAAGGTGGGGTGTTGAACTCTGTGTGCACCCAACAGGTGACAGGTGCTTCCTTTTTTAATAACGGCTGCAGAAGAAACACAGTGGAGCTTCGACTCCAAGGCAGGTTGTAGACGACTGGTCAAAGTGCAGTGATTTGCCAAGGAGACAAGGGGGTTTTAGCTTGAGGTCAGTGGAACTAGGTGTTGGAACAAGTTGGTATTTCGCGCTGTTCCTTGGTGATGGAGGCTTTAGCGTTGCGTCTGCAACGAGTGGGCGACCCTGAGCGTGGGGCGGATCCGGTGCCCGGGGCTCGGATTCAAAGTTTCACTGACCACTGGATCATGGCCACACAGAAGGAATGTTTCAATGTATGCAGCTCCACGTCATGTCATTGCTGAGGACTTTGACGAAGTTCTTGGAGTTGGTGGGGTACAAGCCAGAGACGCAGATTCAGCCAGTTCAGAGCCCGCAGGCAAGAGAGTTTGGGCGATTCGGTCAATTTTGTGAGCACTGCCTTCAGGATGTAAAACTAGACAGGTGTTTTCTTTTCTGCCACTGGCCTTGGTGTGAAGAGTAGAGGGAAACTTTGACAGCCAAGCTTTCAGAATTTCTTTGGAACATTTGCACATGTAAAGGGTAAGCAAAACCTTGCCACTATTATATAACGCATGCCAGGGCGTGTTGACTTTGGTCAAAGCAGAGGCGGGCAGTGGATGCAGGAACCATTCCCTTACCATTCAACCTCTGCAAAGTTGTCAAATGTCGCTGTCGCCCTCTGGCAGCTCTGGCAGGCTGAACCTGCTGCAGAGCGGTGGAGTCGGGAGGCTGCCAAGGCTGTGGTGAAACTTGAGACCGCAGTGTGGCCCGGCTCAGAACATCTCAGAACCACTTGCGCGTTTTCCCACTGCAAGAGGATCAAGAGACAGGCACTCAGATAGTCTTGTTTCATCTCGTTTCGGAGGTGGAAGCTAGTCGGATCTGTCTCTGTTTGGAAACCTCCCAAAACCACAAGATGTGGCTCTTTTTTCTCATAGGACCAGCTTCAGAACAGAGAAGCCTTGAAAAGTTCTTGCTGAGAGGGGCTGAAGGGCTGATTTGTTTGATTTGCCAAGGCACAAAGATGATCCTATGGACATTGAGTCACTTGACTGGGCCACTTCCACACTGACAGGGCAGGCATCCTCTCAAAACGTATTCGGACCTATTCATGCGGAATCTAAGGGACCGCGAGCCTCGTCAAATCAGTGCAGTGCAGCAGCATCTGCAGTATCGTGTGATGCTAAGGAAGGCTTTGCACAACCTGATCTTGAAGATGCAGCGTTGGATCCTGAATGAGAATCGGTTCAAGTTTTTTCTATGGACCAAAAGGTTGATAGAAACAACTTGAGCCGTTGGTAAACGACGTAAAAGGTGAACGACTTGATGCTACTCAACTGGGCACATTACCATTCTTGTCGCAATCTACGAGGCCGTGATGTGAATTGGCAATCTGTGGAAGAGACAGGAGTTGGCCTCATATTTCGCAGCTTGGCTTGCATACATGAGACAGTTGCTGTGGAATGCTCTGGACTCTGGACTCTTCGATTTTTAAAGTCCTGGTATGTCCTGGTTGAATGCCCGGGTCACCAGCTCCGTTTCCTAAGCCATGTGAGGTCAGTTGAGCAGCTTTCATGGGGATGGAGACATTCGTTCCCTTGCCCGGAAAGCAGTCCTGGAGGCGCCGATTTGCGATGCGACTTGGGATACTGGGGTGCTGCCATAGGGCGGGGCTCTAGGGTGCCAGTCACCTTTTGAATGCTTGAGATTTGAAGAGCCTCAACCTTGGTTAGAATGTTGGAATCAATCTTGTTGGAACAATTCCATTTAAAATCACATGAAAACGATATCCATCACCAATGTTCTCTTCAGTTCTTTCAGCAAAGCAAGAATCTCCTGATAAAGTATCTTTTCCAAAGTGAATGCAACAGGCAATGACATTGGATGTGAGTTTGTCAGAAAGCCACCTGAAATGGTCCCCCAGCTTTGTACAGCCATTGCAACACAATACCAATATTATACCAATGTAGTTTGGATCAGCTTTCACTGGCAACTTGGGGAAGAGCTCCAGCAGCTCCACCACTTTGACTTTGACTTGTGGACCTACAGATGTTTGGAGCTCCGTGGCCTACAGGCATCTAAAGTCGGGTTCGAACAGCACAGGCCACCAAGCTCCAGCATGCTGACGCTATTAGATGAGGGTCATGAGGGTAGCCAAGCGCTAGTGAAATTGATGCAGGCAGCGTTGAGATTGAAGCAAGAAGGTCTCAGAGATAGAATGGAAAATGCTGGCTTTCTCTGAATGGCATGAACAAGACAAGATCTTGCAAGAATTGCACCCAGTGATGCAAAAAAATGTTTTGACACTCTGAGCCTCTTCAGATATGGCGAAGAGCAAGGTCATTAGCGTCCCATGTACATAGATCTGCCGAGCCACGGCAGATGCAGATCTCTTGAAAATCGAGATGTCTTCCTGAGCATCCTGCGTGAAAAGTTGGACCAATCTGGATGTCTTTTGGCAAATTTGAAGATGTTGCCCAGCACGTTGGCCCAGCACGTTGGCCCAAACACTGTGCCCTATGCCTTGGCAGGTGGCATGGTGCGGTGCGCCAGTTGCGCACGGCACAGAAGGAGAGCAGCCTGACCAGCCTGTTGTATGGCCCATGGCAGATTGTGGGAGCGGCTGTGCCATGCAGAACTACCACATTTTTTTGAACATCCTTTTCCTTTCGATTTGTTCAACTGTATTTACCAGGAACATCGTTTCACCTACGCAAACAGCGGTTGCAAGATGCACTTTGAAATCCATGTGTTTGAGGATTGAAACTTGAGCTTCTTTCAGTGGTGCAGAGCGACATTAGTTTCTACTGGTGACCACAATTGCCCTGTGCCGCAGCCATCTTGCCCTGCCTCAAATCTCGAGCTGCTTAGCTCCTCTCTCCACACAGGCAGTCCTTGTTGTGAATGAGAAACTGGCAGCATTGTCCAAGACTCTAGGCTTGTTTCCCCCATGAGAAGACCAGTTTTAAGTCCATGACCCACTTTCTTTCTTTTGCCTAGGGATGGAGCAAGACCCGGCTGCAGGCCGCTGCCATGACTTTGTGGGTGTCAACAGTATCAATCGGCTTTTCAAAACCGCACCATGCTGATATCAAAAATAATCAAACATCACATCACATTTTGATTGTTGTTGCGCCCTCAAACCCTGCTTCTGCATGGCAGTCTCATGGCTTGCATTTTGCGAACTTGAGATAGAGTATTGTAGCAATTTGTAGCAATTTGTAGCATCCAGAATATCCGTGGATCATGTTTTTACTCTTTGGCAAGGACCTGAGGAATCGAAAGAACTGGACCGGATCATTCCATGAAGGGATGGGGTGGGTATGGGTGGGTGATGTATGTTGATTTCTCATTTTCTTTCAGAAGTTGAAACTTTTAAAGCACCATCCTGTGATGCATTGATAGTCAAAATGGATCTGTTTTGCCAGAATGCCTTCTCAAGCAATGTTGGATTCAAGCTGTGCTTTGGCCTTCCACACTTGGCTTCTCAGCACATGTTCGGAATTGCCATTGTTTTGGATGTTGCAGTGGCATAATGAAAGCCACATGGTATTGGATGTTAGCGGTTCAATTAGAGGCTAGCCAGGCAGCAAATTGCATATCCTTTCTGTAGAGTTGGCGATGCCTCTAGTAGCTGTGTTTGCATGGGTGCAACACGGTGCAATTGCTTTTCCACAAAGTTTTTTTTTTTAGGAGAGGATCGAGAAGTTCTTAAAGGAAAGCCCTTCTCAGCAGGGGCCCCTGAGATATCAGTATGACCTCTCTGTGTCATGTCCACATTGAAATGATATTTGCACTTTCAGAAACCGTACACATGAATAACACACACACACACACATCTGCATACACTGCATACCTGCACAGACGCAATGATGCTATCCGCTCGTGTACATCCATGCAAACCTAGTTGCGTGCCCACCTGCATATCGAAGCTACCATGATGACTAAACGTGTGTATTTATATATATATATACATATATATATATATATCAAAGGAATGCTTCACTTCAAAGCTTGGATGAAATGCACTTGGTCCTGGAGCTCGTGCATCAATAGTGCATCAAACTGTTCAAGAAAGGTATCATGACCGTTGGCCGTTCACCCTTCGGCCTGCTGAGGAAGCAGCTGGAAGAAGAAGCTTCAGGCTTGTGGGATGCCAACCCAGGCGGGGAGTTGGGTTTGTCGCACTGGAAGTTTATGTCTTTGTCTAGCTAACTAATCTAACCCAACCCAAACAAGAACTGCCCTAACCCAAGCTAATCTAATCTAATCTAATCCAATCTACTGTATATCAATCTATATAGTATATATATACATATAAATATACTATATTCTATACATATATATATATATTTCAATATCTCTATATGATCTAAGCGATGAGGCTATTCACCAATCTCCACCGTGGTCTAATTGTCTCCGTCCATTCGTCGCCCAAAATGCCACCACGACGGAGCTCAGGACGTCCATCCCTTCGGGAGATTGCGTGTCGTTTAATGGAGGCCATTGCTCTGCTTGACAAAAAGCTGCGACTCTTTGACTTCTTTGGATTTCCTTGACCAAGATTTGAAAAAACTGAAGTTGGATCATGTCACCGGGTCTTCAAATTTTCAGGGACCATCGTAGATTCTAGTGACTAGTCAGCCAGCCATTCACGTGTCAAAGTTTCATCTCACTGGGAAAGGCAGCAGGACATGGAGAGACTGAGGGAAAGCAGTGGGGGACTGAGAAGGAGCATGGCAAAAGTTCCGCCTATGGAAGTTCCAAGTGAAGTGCCAGAGTGCTCATTGTCAATGTCTGGGTTCTGCTGCTGTGTTGAGATGTGAATTGAAGTGGCAATTGGTACCTCGGCTCCTGCAAATACAGAGAGCTCATGAATTGCAATGGCTTGAGCCCTTCAGTGAGGTTGCAGATGATGCAGTGCTGGGCATTGACCGGGAAAGCCTGGCTGGAGCGAAGATCTGACGTCTTATCTTGAAATGCTATCCTGCTATCTTCTCCTCCTCCTCCTTCTTCTTCGTCTTTGTCGTTGTTCTTGCGGAATTGTGATTGGTTTTGAACTCATTTGATCTTTGTTTGTTTAGGAGTGCTTTTCTTGATGCCATAAGCTTCGCCTCGCTAAACCACTTCGAGCATCCCTCTAAATGTGATTTGTGGATGGTATTCCCTTTCTTCTGAATCAAATCTGCTATCATGAATGTGGCTCAGGCATCAAGACTTAAAATACAGAGAGCTAGGGAGAACTAGGGATTTGGATTGGGGAGAACTGACCCGATATCAGAGGAGCGAGGCAGCTATGATGCAGCTCTGCGGTGTCTCTCTCGGGTAAAGGAGAGACAGGCACGATTTGATGTCCTCTGTGGGTTTGCACAATCCGGTGAATTCTGTGTCCCTTTACAAGATATGTTTTCTTTGCTATGAATCAGTTTTAGCTGTTTGGTGCTCCAAAGTAAGGAAAGGTCCTTGGTCCTGGTTTGCATTTCTGGGGCAGTTGCATGTGGAAGTTATAGTGTTAACCTGCAGGTGGCTCCTGGTGAACCTAGCCAATGGGCAGAAGTCTTGATGCAGACGCAGCCACTTTAAATGCAAGGAGAACATTGTATTGTCTAAACTGGTAGGCCCACCGTGTTATCCGTGTTACCCGCATGTTGATTGGCCGTGAGTTCAGCTGTAAGCACCTCCGTCAAGTATAGAAGTAGAACAGGGACCAGGTTGGCAATCATCAGCCGTCCAGAAAAACAACCTGAATAACAGAAACAGGACTTTATATGCAATGATCTCATCCACATGTGTCGTAAGTACTGCAATTTGCAGAGGTCTCTGAGTGTTAGCTGACCTTTCTGGTTGTGGGAAAGAGCTTTGCTGGTTGCCTTCCTACATTTTTGCGAACAGCACCACCCAAACACAACCCAGACGCACCCTCTTTCTTAGTTTTCTTAGTGGCTGTTTCAAATATTGAAACATCACCAGCAATATGAAGATATCTTCCAAAGATATGGAGAACATGATGGCACGGATGCAAATCCACAATTCTGAACCCTCAAACAGGTCTTCCGCAGTAATACTGTGCAATAGGATGAGCCACTTGGGTAACTTGTGGTCGGGCCGGGGTAACCGGGTAACCTGTTGTATAGTGGAAATGGGGTAACTTCTAAAGTAAGATTGCGATGATGTCCCCAATTGTTACCAACTAACAGGTCTCAATGGGCGCACCATGCAGTGCTGAGGCTTTGGACTGCAACTGCTCTTTTGCATAAAGCATCTTACAACGAGGTGCGGCTAACTCAGTTCTAGTCGAATTGACACACCGCAGTGGAACAAAACTTAACCTCTAAATGAGCATGCTTCGCATGGTTGTACACGTGTAGTCACTGGTGTGCAAACACGACAACAACTGCAGTATCAACAATCACAATACTAACAAGGATAATAGCAATAGTAATGGTGAACACAATAGTAATAGTAGTAAGTAGTAAGAATAAGCAATGATGAATACACTGTATATATATAATATGTATATTTGTTTGTATCATACTAATACACACATGTGTAGGCACAACACACAACGTACACAGAGGAATCTGTAGTTTTTTGCCAGGCCATGGCGGCATTTGCCAAGGCAGCCAAGCTCAGGTGCCAAGCTGCACTGCTAAGCCATGTCACACATGGATAGATGGATAATATCCAATAATGATGGATAGATTCAAAGTGATTTTAAGAGTTGGAACATGTTTGAACTATCGAATGCTTGAGAAATCCCATTTCATCATTCATGTGGCTCAAAGCGTGGCTTAAAGTGTGGCTCTCATCATTCGTGGGCAACTCATTTCACCTCAATTTTCATGGTGTGTACGGCCTGTGGCGGTGAATCTTCACATTCCTTCGAGACTTTGGATGACTGGCAAGATTCAAAGCGTTTCCAGTACCATGTTGCCAGGTTTTCGTCGAAAATGCCGGAGCGTGTGTTGCAGCGCTATTCTGATTCTTTGTCGAAACTGAACAACTTTCAGTTGCAGCGCTATGCCACACACGTGGCAGCCTGGGTGGCTGCACCAAAATGTGGAGCTGCGGTTAAGCTCTTGGCTGTTGACCTTCTTAGATGCTACCTCGAGCAGCTGAAGGTTCAGGGTATCAACTGCTGCCCGTGTTTGTTGACTGGACTCAAGTTGATTTGGCAGACACAGAAAGACGATCTGTATGGTAGTGGTCCATGGGCTGCACTGCGGGATGTTATGCCAGCGGAAGTACTCTCCAACTTAGAAATCTCACTGATGCGGCCTGAGAAATCAGTGCGTCTCCTGCAGAAAGCCATCCAACTTTGGAGGAACAAAAGCAGCGGTGAACGTTGCTCTTTTGTGGAGGGTTTGGAAGCAGAGCTGCAACTTCAGGATGAAGTTGAGGATTCGGGTGATCAGAGAGAAGTTGAGACCAATCGGCTTGAATCCATTTTTCGCAGAGCCGTTGCTGCGCTCACACCTCCACGATTGAAAAGGGAGGGTGAGTGTCATCAAGGCCAACAAGAACCATTGGATCCAGACTCAGAACAAACACTGGATCGCAGCTTGGGTGCATGTCGAAGCCGTCCCAGAGAGTCCAAAACTCACGTAATTTGAAAAAGACCCGGTCCAAATCCAAATACCTCACCATAAATGACACCATTCTTGATACTTCATCAATGTTTCTGAGGGACAAGAATCATTTGGTGAAGCAATGATGTGGCACAAATGCAACGGTTTTAAACGGTTTAACATTGCATTCTATGCCATGACCAAGGAAATCTACAGTTTCGACTTCGGCGAATTGTCATTATTTGCTTGACCCGTGTGGACCAGCAAGACGGCAAGTTCTCAGCTGTACTGGATTACCTCAGAAATCTTGTCAGCAAATTGAATGGTAGATCCCAGACAGAGCTGCTAGCCCCCAAGCAGTGGACTCGTTTGTGCTCGAAGCTTGATGGCGGACCGCCTCAGATTGTTGGTGCGTGCAACGGGGCTCCAGATTCTGATACAAAAAGTAGCCAAACACAGCTACCACCTCAGAATCAAATGGCTTCACTGCAGGATTTGGCTGTCCTGGATACAACCAAGCAAATCGTGAAACCGAAGAGACGCAAAGGACCAGTTCCGCTTCAGTGCGAGCACGGCAAAGAAAGTGGACATTGTGGCATTTGCAGTGCTTGCGAACATGGCAAGGCAAGAAAGCTTTGCAGGTTTTGCAAGAGTTGCCCTGATGGACGATGCCGACCGGCTTGCCCACATGGACTCTGCCGCGAATCCTGTAAAAGGTGCAGTGGCTGTCCTCACGGTCTCCTACGACAAAATTGTGGCAAGTGCAACAGCTGTCCTCATGGAAGGCTTCGACGAGCGTGCTCTTTGTGCGTACCATGTCCACATGGTAAGCTCAAGAGCAGGTGCATGTCTTGCACGCCTGCATGCCCTCATGGCAGGCGAAAGGATATGTGCCGAGAGTGTATCAGTTGTGAGCATGGGAAACTCAAATACCATTGCAACATTTGCAAGGCGTGCCCACATGGAAAGCTCAAGCAGCGCTGCAACATTTGCAAGGCGTGCCCACATGGAAGGCTCAAGCAGAACTGCAAAGTCTGTTGTGGCTGTATCCATGGTCGCATAAAAGCAAGATGCAAAGACTGTGCCAAGGAAAAGAGATTGCTGTTGCTGCCTTGCTGATGCTTGAAACCTGGTCACTAGCAGACTCAGGGGCGCATGGGCTTCACAGGTTCTGACATCACGGACTTTTTTGGACGGGATTTTAGAATAGCGTTCATATTTGTGTTCTTGATGTTCTGGAGAAGAGTTGTTGAAGCGGTTGGATGTGGCCGGAAACTCATCACTACATGGGACGGCATCTTTGGGTTTCTTTCACGACAGTTTTTGGCTCATGACAGGCCTGAGCAGACAAGCTGGAAGGCAGCAGAAGCCATGGTACTGCTACGAGAGCGAGGTAGGACATGTTTTTGAAGCTTTCCTGCAGACCAAATGCACAACGTGCCTGTGAGAATGCGTCTTCATAGGAAAGGCCTTTGAGAGTTTGGCACTTGCAATTTTCCCTTCATTTTCCCAGCCGGAGCCCTGGCGCTCGAAAGTCTTCCATACAGGAGAGATGAAAGTTGCGCTGGAGCTTGTCAATCACCTGGACCTTGAAGGCTTGGCTTTGATACAGTAGCAAGATGCATAGATTGCAGAAATTCTAAGCTGATCTAAGTGCTGTACTGTAATCTTTGCAATATTTTGCAATATTTGGATAGATTTGGGCATTCTGGAAGCAGGTCCAAAATCCTTGCGGCCCTTTGGGTCTAAAGCGACCGTGGCGGAAGTATTGCGGCAAAGGAGCCTTTGCACTTTGGCAGAAGTTCTGGATACTGTAAGAAAACCATAGAAAAACTGTCTTGGACAGAGATGGAGTTTTTTTGCTCCTGTGACCATCACTTTGTCTTTGCCGGCAGAGTGAGTGGATACCGATCCAGCCAAAACTTTGAATACAAGCGTTTGAACAAATGTCTAGATTCTGTGGAAGTGCAGATGAACAGTCATTCTTCAATCTTGAAATTGAATATGACCAGACCCAGACTTCAGTTTCCTGCTAGGACCTTTAGTAAATTTAGGCCCAAAAGAGTGAGGCCACATTGGGATGGCGATAGATCCGTCCTAGATGCACCCCGTGGTGGAAATTGCTTTCAACGAGGTCTGCTGGAGCTGAAAGATCTGCCGCAAGCAGAGGCTCAAGCGCGAAAGGTTTTGACCATGGAACTCAGTGAGACAACTGGTTGGGACTCTCAGGAGAATGATGATCTGGGTATATTTTGGTAGACTAAGCCACATCCGACTCTTCTGTTCTTTTGTTATGCGTTTTTTTTTTTTTTCAGTTGCAGTTTTATTCAGGTGATGAGTTTTTACTTTAGATGTTTTAGTCGATGTTCTCAAATCGAATCAGAAGGACCTTACAAATTCAGCGTCAAAGGTCGAGCAAGATCCCTGAAGATCCTTCTGAAAGTCCTCTGTGCCAAGGCACCGGGGTCAACTGAACTATCGCTTGGAACATCGCCATGTCCGTTGAACCTGGCAAGGAGTGCCTCCAAGATCCCACTGAGCTCCAAGAGTTGAGCTTGGATTTGATGTCCCAAAAGAGGGCCACATTGGCTGATTGCATCGAGACCTGCTGGGAACCTCAGAGATCTCAGAGTCCAGTTTCACCTGCGCAGTGAAGCAACAGGTTTGGAGGATCTCTTGACCTTCCGGAGCCATATGACATGGCCCAATGCACTGTTTTGATTCTTTTGCATTCTTTTGCCATTCTGTAGGCCGAGTCATAGCAGAGTCTGGTTTTGATCGGCTCTTTGTGAAATGCCCGGACACTCTGCACGCACTGCTGACACAAATGGCTCTTGAAAGAATGATTGGAAACACCACTCGCTTCAACAAGAGCAGATGTCCACGACTCGCTTGAGTCTTTTTGCAGTTCTTGCAAAGATCCGCTTCATTTGTACAATGCTGGACTGCCAATTTCCTCGTTCTGTCCCTAGAACAAAACTTTCTGCCATGAGGTCTGCAGCGCTTGCGCCGTCGCAGCCTTGACGCAGAAGAGCAGCGTGAGTTGCGACTCTTTGGGGCTCAGGCTTTGTGGCGGTGTGCCTGCGGATTTAGATGTTTGTTTTGACCAATGGTTCTAGCAGGCAAGGCAGAAGTGGCATGTCTTTCCTCCTGCACCTCTGTCAGATGCTGGCTGCACGCGTAGAGGAGGTCATGTGCAGTGAGGCTACCCCAGCCGACAAGGAACAACCCGGGTCTATTTCAAAGATTGTTGCACTGAAGTGGACACAGCTGATTTTCATACCATTTCCATCCATTTCCAACCGCTAGAGGTGTGAATGAACGAATGCATCAAATTTATGACAGAGTTGATGTGAGCATGATTGCATTGCGAGTCAATTGTAAACGCCGGGACGAATCACTCCTCACTTATCGGTTGATTGTTGAAGAAGAGGAACAAGTCGTGGAATTTCCCTGGCTGTTGCTTTCTCCTTTTTCTTGCTCTCAACGTTCATGAGAGGAGTTTGCAGTGGACACCCTTTGTGCATGGGTTGATGAGGCCGTCTGTCATGGAACGCATCTCACCCTTGGGACAATTGGGACCCAACAAACAGGGTTGCTCCAACGTAGTATACGTAGGTACATGATACACATAGCCATAGGGTAAACTGGCAATTTTACCACTTAAGTTGCCATTTTTACCCCCCATTGTACCTGAGGTGTTGAGAGTCGCTGTGACAAAAGGTTCCCATATCCCAGCCATTTCCTGCGCGGCTGAGGCGCGGAATCTTGAAGATGCGGTGGTTGGTGTGGGGCATTTATTGTGGAACCTTGCGCGGACCTTGAAGCCTCAGGACAGAGTGAATCTGTGTGGTCGCTTGATGCTTTAATTTTTGGTGGACACCTGTATATATAATCCTACCATATATTGGGTATGTATGTCTGTGTATGTGTGTATATATATATATACACACATAGATCGGGCGTGCCGTATCATCTTGTACAAACAGGGTGGCGCGCAGGTCTTTTCAGCCAAATTCGCATTGCGAAGTTCGCTAGGAAGCTTTGCTTTGGCTTCAGAAGGCCCTCTCCTTCCTTCCAGAAGCACCTCTATGGCGAGCCATGGCCTTTTGCAATCACACCCTGGGCTGGGAATCTCAATTTGAAGCGCTGTGGAAATCCCTGGAAGGCTTATGCTGGTCTTGAGAGAAGATGCGCACTGCTTGGGAATCTTTTTCTCATACCTTGTTGGTGCAGAGAGGTGTTGCTCAGCACAGAACGCATCAGAAAACGCTTGAATTGCCAGCGTTGATTCAATGATGTTTGTGCTGCTGGAGTCTCTCAATATGTTTAAATCCTGCTACTACTCCATGTTGATAAACTGCAAAGCTTTGGTCAGATCGTTGGATCAACATTTGTTCAGAAAGAAACATCGAAACGATCACTTCCAACGACTACGTGATGCATAGAATTCACAAAAAAAGGGCTTCATCACCAGATATCGACATATTGCCTCTTTGTCAATTTGAAGGAATTCAAACAGATTGATCTCCTATGATCTCCTGCATTGAGGCGATGGAAACAACCGTCGGCGATGCCTTGAAGCCGCCTTGAAGCATTGCCCCAACGATGTGTCCAGCAATCTGCTGCTGCTGGTAGATGCGGCTGTGTGAAGCCCAGTACCAATGCTACCGATTGCTACCGTAGGTAGTGGATTTGGTGTTTCCTGGAAACAGCTGAAGCCAGGTCCGGCATGAAAATCCTGTTCAATAGATGCACAGATGACTTGGATGACACTCGATCATTTAGGCCACTTTGTCCCACAAATCAGCCATCTCTGGCATAAGAAGCATCCAGCAGCTGAGGTACGCGGCGAAGCTTTGACCGTGCAGCGTGTGGTGGAGAAGATGAAGCAGAAAGAGGTGAAGGTGACAGCCAACGAGGTCAGAATCGCCAATGTTTTTACCCGTGGCCTTTGATCTGAAGTTAAGTCGATGTACTGTCTATACTGGTAAGTCATACCTCACCAAGGACTTGAAAGAGTGTGGCACTCTGACTTGGTATATCGAAAACATTCAAACTTGCTGGCTGGAGGTCATTTTTGTGGTGCGGGAATTGCAAAGTCTGGAGATCTCCCAGCAGCACCTGGTGATTCTGGATCTCCTTCTCAAGCTTGCAGAAGAGGCATAGGGCAAAATTATAAAGCATGCGCAGCATGCGGTACTGCGGTGCGCAACATTATTATTCAATTTATTCAGAAAAGTGTAGGGAGAGAATGGCTGTGAAGACGGGAAGGCAAGGTTCGAGCTTGAGCTGTCTGACTGAAATATTTTTCCTCACTATGGTGCCGAGCCCCAAGTGCATAACTGATGTTGCCATCCAACCCATGGATGAATTCGCAATTGATCTTAAATCATCTGAAAAATCATCTTAGATCCAGTCACAGGAGAAGAGTTCAGCTCTATGTTCCGCAAGCGTGCTTCAAATGTACTTGGAGGCCTTGCCTTGCTTGATGGATGTGGTTGATTCGGATCCCAACACCGCGCCTGAGCCACGCAAGGCTGCAAGCCATTTAGGGCCACAGCACTTGATCAAAGCTATGGAGCGGGTTAAAGACATTGCGCTGCAAGAGGACAGGGGTTTTGAATGAATGGCTGGCTTAACTTATAGATTTCATAGGATTATTATTGCGAAAGTTGTTTGTTTTGATGCTGGAGCTAGCTTTAAGATATTGTGATCAAACCGGACCTGCCCAGCAAATGCTGAATGTCGGTATCCTCATGCCGCAAAGGATCAGAAGATTTGGTTGCGGCAGCTGCTGGTGACCCAGGCTCAAGCTTGTGTCCAAAGCCAAAGTTGGCGTCTTTGTGCCAAGTTGATGCAGGCCGTCAAGGGCAGGTTTTGTGGCAGGGAAAGAGAACCTGTCCTATTTTCTTGTGTCAGATTTGGTGTCATGAGTATGACAAGGATGTTTTTTTTGCCACATGTTAATTGTATAGGCAGATTATGTTGATTTATTCAGTCATGTTTTACATTATCATTCCCTTCCAGATTTGGCGTTTCAGCTGTGGCCAAAATCTTTGGGACTCCAAGTGCTGCAAGGAGACAGCTGAGCTTCTGCCTTTTGGAGAAGACAAAGCAGTGCAGTGTGCTTCTGCTGCGCAGGTCTGGGCTGCACATCACACCGGAAACTGCCAGATTTTGACAGACGAATGGATGCACAATAGCATCCAACGGCAATTTTGTGCAGCGTAGCTTTCGGACCATCCAAATCTCAGTTTTCAGACGTGCAGTACATCATAGGCATTCAGTTCAGCCATTCCTACTCTACCGATCTCTACCGTATCATTGCCCAGCGCTAGGCACTTCTGCGTGCAGAGCCTCAACGCCAGAATCGTGAGACTGCGAGCAGTTTGTGTGAGGAGGCCTTGGATTGGATTCGCAGAGGCGAGCACACCTTCAAATAGACAACACATGGGATTGCGGAGTGGAACTGATGATCAAATTTCATCACACTTTCGGAGATGCTTGAAGCAAGACCAGTCCTTTGCAACTTGGCATCCCTGACATACCCAAGAAGTAGTTCCTCATCTTCTCAGTCGTTTTCCTTTGCAGCAGGCCTGGCTGCATTGGAAATTGGAACTGTGACAGCTGTGGAGAAGCAACTCAGAGACCTGGAAGCTGAAGCTGCAGGCTCGCCGAAAAGTGTGGCAGATGGGTGGTGAGCCCGGGAAGTGGCTTTCAACTGAAGGAACAAAGTTGATGATGTTTCTTCTAGCTAACTTTCAAGGACATCTCTGCATGTTGATGGTACATGTGGGAATGTTCATGCTGCATTTTTTTTAACCCTTGCCATGCGCAACCAATCTCTTCCATTTGTGTACCCAGGAAATGTTTCGTGCGCGTTGGTGCGGTTCATGCTGCATTAGGTTATGGAAACCCTTTGAGTGCTACCTGATTCCTTCTAGAAAATGTTGAGAGATACACAATGCGCAGCAGGAAGAATGACGTCACCAGCAAAACAGCAGCGGCAGGTCGATTGGGTCAAGTTGTTTCATCCTTGAAATGTGCTTGGGTCGGTGCCTTACAATCTTGATATTTTCTGAATATTTCGATATGGGTTTTGCGTGGCTTTGCCACATTGTCCAACATTTAACTGCTCAATTTCCTGCTACCTCATTCAGCAATCGCTAGCACAAAATCAGTAATCAGTACCACAACAACTACAATGCCAGACAAACACGATATGAATGACAATGAATGACAATGAATGACATTGAATGACAATGAATGACATTGAATGACAAAATGAGAGTCTGCAAGACTTGTAGCCAAGGCTGCTTTGGAGGCCCACCCGCAGGTGACCATTCAGATTCTGCAAGGCCACCAGTTTGATGCCAAGGTGCGCCACAGGGATGACCTGGGGCAGACCTGGCAGACCTGGCGGACCTGGGTCGATGGTCGTGAGGCTCCAGCTGCTGCAGCTGCTGCAGCTGCAGCTGCTGGCCGTGAATGCCTCCGTTTGCTGCTGCTACATGGCCATTTTGCCGAAGCCCTGCAGGTGCTGTGGGGATTTGATGTTGGATCTGTTGGATCTGTTGGATCTGTTGGATTGCGTTTTGACGGTTTTGATATGTTTTGATGCATTCGATAAAGGCGATCTGGTGCGTTGAAACGGAGGAAAGATGCACCCCACCTCCAGCTGCCTCCAACGCTTCAGGAAGTCCAAAGGCTGCAAGAGATGCAGACAGAGGTGGATGGATGGGTGGTGGCTTTGGAGCTGGAAAGTCTTGCCACAGTGGCAAACACAGAGCTGGGCATCGGCGGAAGAGCGGTGGAATAACTGACATGTTGAAGGGAAAAGGTACTCAGCTCAGGTTTTCGCCCAAGTCTTATTGGTTTAAGATTTGATCCTGTATTTCGTTGGCATCATTAAGGTTTCTCACTTCAGCCAGCTAGTTGTTTTGATGCTGATCTTGATCTATGGCATATTCATGGTCTGGGAATGCTGAGAAGTCTTTGAGGTTGCCTAGAATAGGAACGTGAGGAATTGATTTGGGGAAGCTGTTGATTTGCCCTGATTTGGCCGTTGTTTGCTATCCTGCAGGCTCCCAACTTGGAGTCCTTGTGGCTGGCCGCCACTGTATGGAATGCAGGTACGCCATGCCAAGCGGGCACAGTGGGAAGTAGCAGCGTTGAGGCGCAAGGCAATGTGTTTTGAGAATGGCATTGGTTTGGGATCTTAGCATGGACTCAAATTTCAATTCCCCAGACACCAGCTCCTCTCAATAGTAGGAAGCTGTTTCCAGTGGGAGTTTTCACTCTCAGACATGTCTTTGAGAATGTAACAACGTGACACTTTCAGCCTGTTTATGCCGTTGATGTTAGTGCTTCAGTCGCTGAATCATTGTCATTCAGCATAGTTGCGCGTGTCGGAGTCAAGCTGCTGACTCTTTGGCTCCCGTTGTGTGCTTCACTTGCAGGAGCCAAGCTTCTTGACACAGGACGGTGGGGATGATTTGCTGACTACAGACTAGTTTCAAACTGACAAGCAGGCACCAACATGAATGTGGGGTCGGCATTCTGTCCCACCATTGAACGTGGAGGCTCCATGAGGCTCCCATTTGAATATTTACTTTTCTAGGTGGGATGCTAGGGGACAATGGGTCTCAAGGCTTTTCAACCAGTAGAGGACTCTCATTGATATTTCCGCTGAGGAGATCACTCCTGCGGCCGCCAATTCCTACAGAAGGCCCTACTTGGATGATGAGATTTAGTGGATTCACTTGGAGTCCGTTCAAGACTGTTGCATAAGCGTGGCCACAACCCCACTAACGAATGAAAAGATCAATTCTATAGGCAGTTCACTGTACTGAAACGCCCAGCAGATCCAAATAGAAAGAGAGGTCTGCCATTTTGTCTTCCGAAACTGATTGGACCACAAATACTTTCGTCGAATTGTAATCCAATCTGCTTTGTACCTCTTGGCTCTCATCCATGACAATTGATGTGCCAGGCAACCGCTTTGATGCAGGCGCAAGTTGCAAAGAACACCGGGATTACAATCGATGGTCCAGTCTCAAGATATCACATCACATTGAAGAGGTGGCAGATATTCACAGTGGCAAGTGGCATTCAGTGGTGGAACTGGTGACTAGCTGGCGCTTAGATTTTGTTGATGATGTCAGCAATGTCAGAATGAATCCAAAAGTAGCTTGCCCATTGGGCCATTGGGCACCTGCCTGGTCTAATGTGGCAGGATTCCGGCACTCCAGAGCTGAAATCG